TATATATACATACACACTTTAAATAAAATTCTCCTTTTTGAATTTTATTGGTGCACTTTAAGTGTTTTTAATTACTAGTCAATTTATGTATTTCCACTTTTATTTCTAATTATGTCAGTTTCGGTCCTCCGTACTGCAGAAGCCTGATAATCACCCATTCATTCAAATCAGGTGTGTTTGAGCAGAGAAAAAAGTAAAACATGCAGGGCTGCGGCCCTCGAGGACCAGGATTGCCCACCCCTGGCCTAAAAGAAGGGAGCCACCTTGTTCTAAATATAAAAAAATGTGTTTTTAAAATCTACTTTAAAAATATGAGTCTAATAATGTAAGTCTAATGTGTGTGTAATGTGTGTGTAAGTCCGTGTAATGTTGAAGTACCAAGGTTCTAACATAGTAAGTACTCTGTATCAGTACTCAATGTTGGTGAATACTGAAACTGAAGTACTCGTACACCTGTGAGTTACATCATGGACAATGTTCTGTGGACTGTCTTAAACACATGGACAAGAACAATGTAGGAAACAATGGGTTTGACATTTCTGTTCCTCAGAAATCAAGCTGGAGCACAGATGAGGTCTTAACAAACAGGTTACCTGTGACCTTCACCTTTGTCCCCATGACACTGAAATATACTGGGATCATCATCCTTCAGCCATGACCTGTGCAGTTTGACATTTCTATGTTAAAGGGTTAATAATGTAGAGCTCGGACAAGAAATTGCCCAGAAACAGACAGGCGAACATGTCCCATCTTATAACGAGTGTATAAAGATGTAAATTAATTTAATTCTGCTTTATCGGCTTAGACAAGTTTGCAACTATCAGTTTGTGTTTGCAACTCTGATGTAGCAAAGCAGAAGAAACCAAAAAGCTGCAGGTTTCCACTTCTAAGTGATTCTAAGCAAGTAAAGATATTAAAAGCTGATTTTCTTACCTTTACTTCACATTTTTTATGGCAGGACAACCGGCAGGCTGGAAAAAGGAAAGAAAAATGAAAGGTACATTTTTGCTCATGAGTGTCAGTTCATCCCATTTAACATATGTTCCTGTTTAAATAGATTCAAAAGCTGATGTGCAAAACATATTGGGCATTCATTTTTTATGGTATGTAAAACCAGAGCACACATCAGTGTTGCTTTTCTCTGACATACGAACAGAAAAGAATCAGTAACATACGGTGCTGCTACCCCCAAGTGGAAAAATAAAGCAAATGCACCTAATTTCATTGTGATTTGTTTGTTTTTGCTGAAAAGTAAATGCTTTAAATTATAGTAAAGCTGATAAATAAGGCACCTCTCTTTCTTAAGCCTTTATAAAGGACAGAAACAAATATTTGCCACCTATCAGTGCTGTCTAGATGTCAGGTATGACCTTTGACCTGTACTCAAACACACACCTGCTGTCTCCCTGTGGGTGGTCCTGATCGTGTGTGAAAATGTCGGAGCAAAGTAAGTGAACGAGAGGTGACGTTTGAGCGGCTAAAGAAGCGATGGGGGTGGTCTGACAGTGGGGAGCACGGTTTATAACAACAAGTTTGGTTAATGAGGTTAAACCAGGGTAATGGTGATTAATTAACTTGTTACTTTGTGTTTGTGGAAGAGCCGACAGACAACTGTTTGTAAAGTGAATCATTGGATAACCAGCTGTTCAATCAAGGAAGAAAAAATGTCAGCCTTACTCTTTTTTTCACCTCATTATAATCATAAAATCTTGGATACATACTAACATTTAGCAAAAAAATAAAAATAAATAAAAAATAAATAACTGTAAAAACACAACTTTCTTTTAATTCAAGACAAAAAAGTATATATATCCCTACATTTTTGCATACTAACTGCATAGTGTTAAAGGGATCTCCAACTACTTGTAACATTAAACAATATTTGATAAACATTTACTTTAACCCTAAAATTGAGACTGTAAAAATACTCTTGACTGTTTACATTTTATTACATAAAAACAAACTGTCACACGGACATTGCTGTGTTATTTACACAGCAAAACATTCTGGGTAAATGATGACATTTACCGTTGCTCTGGTGCAAGCTCTTTCCAGCTTGAAGGTTCATTTTGGACTATGTCTGACGTTCAGCTCTTTGACCAACAGCTTGGTCAAAGAGCATTGACCAAGAGGAGAAGGTAGAAATGACTCAGCCTGACACTGAAAATGTGGATGGAGGACAACAGAGCAGCTTCAGCCTTTTAACTTTCATGTTAGCTCTCGAGCTAATATATACTGTATATTACAATACCTGACAATGTGCTTAATTGAAAAA